AGCTAGGGATGACGCACAAGCTACATCGTTCGGTAATTTGTTCCAGTAGTTAATAGTACGAATAAAGAAGTCATGGGTCCTTAGTTTAGTTTTGCATATAGGTTTTAGTAATTTTAAGCCATTAGTTCTTGTTGGATTCAAATTTAGTCTAAAGTTATAATATTTCGAGCAATCTAGTTTAACATAACCATACAGAATCTTATATGTGTAAATTAAATCTTGTTTAATTCTACGAACTGAGAGAGAATCCATGTTATGTTGTAGAAGTGTTCTTTTATAATTAAAATTATAATTTTTATTAGGAGAGAGGCGTCTTAGAAAATATTTTTGGAGTCCTTCGATTATTTTGCCTGTTTTGCGATGTCTAGGGGAGTAACATATAGTATTGTAGTCAAGAAGAGGCGGAACGAATGCTTTGTATAATTTGATAAGAAAACTTTCAGTTTTGTTCTTAAACGAGCGAAAAATAAAATTTAGTATCCTTGAGGATTTCTTTACTATGGTTCTGCAGTGAAGATCGAAATCGAGAATTTTCATCCATGATTATTCCAAGATCAGAGTTTTGTGATACTCTATTGATTAAATTACCATTTATAAAAAGGTTAGGAAGATCGAATCCTTTAGAGTTGATGTGAAGAACGCATTTTTGAAAGGAAAGGGTGATTTGCCTGTCATATAGCCAGTCAGCTATATTCTGTTGAGGTCCTCCTGCAGTGGAGATAGGCTATCCGTTCTACCATGAGAATAATAAATTTTACAATCATCAGCATAAAGATAAATAGTAGAATTTAGTAAAACATTGGTGATATCATTTATATATGATAGAAAAAGCAATGGCGCAATATAACTACCTTGAGAAAAACCAGATTTAACAGGTGTTGTATCAGAGAGAGTGTTATTGACAGCTTGGTGACGATCTTTTATATAATCTGACACCCAGTTATAGAGGTCCCCTGTTATGCCATAACTATTAAGAGTGATCAAAAATTTGCTATGGGAAACAGTATCAAAAGCCTTAGCCAAATCTAGATACACAACTGATACTATTTTTCCATTGTCAATTGATGCTGACCAATCAGAAAGATTTGCCAATATTTGTGAAGAAGTAGATTTTTTTGTACAAAAGCTATGTTGATAAGAAGACATAAAATTATTGGCATCAAGATAAGTAAGCAATTTGTTGTCAACCTTTCAAGTGCCTTGCTACCAACACATGTTAAGCTAATAGGTCTGTAAATAGAAGCGTCATAGGTGCTTCCTTTTTTATGAATGGGAACTATATGGGACAATTTCCAAATTTTGGGATTAAGGCCAGACTTCATAATATCTTTATAAATTAAAAATAGGGGAAGACTCAGAGAGACTGCGCATTTTTTATAAATTATTTGTGGAATGTTATCGGGACTAGCTGAAATGGACGGCTTAAGTCTATTTAAAGCATCATAAACATCCAGTAGTGTTATTTCAATCTCGCAGAGAGAAGTGCAACAAATTCGATTTACGTTAAAACAGGAAGTATGAGTATTATCCTCAATAAACACACTACAAAAATACTGATTTAATACATTTGCAATATCAATATCAGAGGTGATCACATTATCATTATGTTGCAGAATTAATTGTTTACGTGGATTTGCAAATTTTCTTTTGATATAGGTCCAGAAAGAATTTCTATCAATATTTAAAAGTTGTTCTTCTTTATTTGAAAAGTAATTATGGATGGTGCTACGGAAACTTTTTAAGCTTTCTTTATATGCAGAGAGGTCATTTGGCAATTTGGTTAATTGATATTTATTATAAAGCTTCTTGACACTTTTCTTAAGGGATTTTAGAAAAGTGGGAATCGACCTATTTATTTCCTTTATTTCCCTATTTCTTTATTTTATACTTTATTTCCTTTCTGCATTGTTAGATTATGTCTTATTGTTTTTTTTCAAATTTTATCACTAATTTTATTTCATTTTTTATTTTATTTTCTACTATTGTCGCCCTGCTTGGTTGATTTCATTAAATAAGTATAAAAATAACCCAAATAACCTAATATATAATATACAAAATATTTTCCGTTTATGAAGGCAGCATCTGAAGTTGTATCCATTTGTTTTCTTGCTTTTTTTGCCTTTCTCCCCATAATAATTATAAACAATTAGCTTTTAATAATTCTCAACAATTTATGTTGTGTACATATATAGTCACATCTTCATATCTACCACTTCAATATTCTTATTAAAATATTTTTCGCCATTGTGCTTAAAAATAGGCAGAATCTATGAATCAACATAGGACCAGTCAAAGCTTGGCCGTAGTTTTGTGTTTGATTCTAATTTTTTGGCACGATTTAATTCGATTTTATAATTGGTGGGCTGAGCTGGTTTAACAACTTTATTAATATATTTAATCTAATTTCTTTAGTTAAGTTCAAATTTTTGTTTAACTCATTTTCGTAATGTATCGTCTAATTTTCCTGTTATGTTAAATTGTTATCGAAATAAATATTATAATATAACAAGAAAGGGCTAACGATTCAATGCATGACGATTCAATAAGAGTGCTGATTCTTTTTTCGCCATAGCCACAAAGAATCATCGCTGCTGTCCGTATAAAACAAAAATTAGGCAAAAGAAGAATAACACTGAAGCTCTCTTGGAATTTTTATTCGCATTTCATGTGAGCAAATAATAAATTAATAAATAAATTTGATTAGTTTATTATATATAATTTAGACAAATCGTTCTTGTAATTAATGAAAAGATAAGAACTGAGATTTTTTAAATTTACTGAAAATTTACAATTTTTTAGGAGTTGGCTGATGTAATAGAATTATCCATAAGCGAGGTTATGCAAGGTTCAATCACTTTCGAGCTCAGAAAAAACTTCAAAAAAAACTTTAATCCAAATTCGAAGACACTCAGTTGATTTGTTCTAGAATGTTTTGCTAGAACTTCCCGAAGATTCATCGGTTAAGACTTATCGTAGTTAAAATTTAGCGAACTTTAGATTTGTGATTCTAATTATGCTCTAATATATTATACTCGACTAAATTAAAAGTTGAGAATTTTAAGTCTTGGATATTTTCGTTTAAAATAAGGATCATTTAATTTAGTTTTTCGGCATTTAGCATATCTTTCTTGTGGGTGAGTCCACTGAATAATACGAATAATAATATTGATTTTGAGGATAAAAAATAATTTAACAACAAATTTTTCATTAAGTAATAAAGAGTTAACCACAATAATAAAACTGCAATTATTAATTATTATTACAAAAAAATTATTTTTTGACCAATTTTTTAAGCTACAATCTGGCTAAATCAATTAAAAGAAGATTCTTAAAAGAATGTTTTCTTTTTTCCTCATTGGGAGGTTGGAATGAGTCATTGGGTAGGTGTTCCCATTTGCGGCACATGTATTGGGTCTGTGCACCCAGAAAGAGTAAACCTATCATTCAAAAATCCAAATGATGCCGGTGACCCATCTATACTTCTATCGCAAAGTGAGCCCCAAAAATTGTCAGGCCCGACATGCCAGCGGATCATAATTATATATGGCGAGTCCTTTATACTTTAATTTTTTGGTCCTGCGGGTGAGTTTTAAGCTATCGTGGGCTAGAATCCACTTTTCCATTAATTTGTTTAGCAGTAGTAAAATGAACTGATTTAAAATTACAGCATGATCCATTCATCGCAAGTAATAAATGCATATTAAGTCAAAAAACATCAATTTCTATGAATTCATTGATATTCTAAAAAGTTGGATCTAGCTGTTAGAAGGTTTCTACAAAAAACGACTAATATTTTCCATAAATAAAAGGGCAGATAACTATTTCATGAGGTCGATTATTGGTATTCATAATATGTACACTTTTCCATTCTTATAAAATTGTATTTGTATTACCACTGTAAGATTTATTTGGAAAAAGTAGCGGGGCAATATCCATGCAATTATGGCGATAACATAAACATATTAATATTAATTCAACATTAATAAAATCGCATAAAACAAATGTGGAAAAAAATTAGAGTTATTAAATTAGTCAAAATGGAAAAGTGTTTGCTCAAAATAATATATTAATTATTTTTAAAATTATGTACTAGCATAAATGATTAATCAATGGCGATTTATTCCATTATTTAATGCTGCGAGTGAAAAATTATGAACTATCGTCTTGACTTATAAGTGAGTAAAGCTTCGCTGACTTACCGGGTCAGACAATTCTTGCTAGAGAGAGACTAGAAATACAGATGAGTCGCCAGCATAATCCAGATTTTTGAAAGACAGGTCAGACAATTCTTGCTGGGAGTAGAACGCCAGTTGTCATTATTAATGTTAATATTATTATTGTATTATTATTATCAATACTATTATCGTAAAATGATTGATGGAGTTATATTCTTAATTGGTAAATCGAACGTGGCTTAACAAATGGAGACTCTAGGATCGATTAATATAGAGTCTTCTTCAAAAAGATGAAAAAACAAAGCAAATATGGGAAATCTAAAATTTCAATAGACTTAGCAAAGAAAATATTGGTTCAAGTCGAGAAACATCGAGAAATCGATAAAGTTGGAATCCAGGGGACCAGTGGTGTCGCTCCTCTTTCTCTACAGTCCTCTCTGCTCTATTTCAAAAAATGCTCCATTTTAGCTGAGTAAATTCCTCTTCCAAAATAAAATATTAAACAGAAATAACGTTCTAAATTTTTAAAAAGGAAAATTGCATAATCATTATTGTATAATTGCATAATTCCATTTCAGCCATTTTCTATTAATCCCTGTAAGCCTTAATCCAAGGTCCAAAGGCTCGTTTTGCGGTAGCAGGAGAAGATATGAGCATAGCTCATTTGCGTTCTTTCGAAATAAAAACTATTCCCTTATTTATTAATGAATTTTTAGGAAAAAAAGGAATAATTTCTTTTCTTTTCTCATTTCTATGTTTCCATAACATTTTATGGATTAAGAAAGAGAAAGAATTATAAGGCCAACGATATTGGGAAATTAACTCTCAAATTTCATTTTCGTAACGGAATTCAACCAAATGAAAAGCATTAATTAAATTCTTTTTTCTTCGTTTTACTCGTTCATTTTTCGATATAAATAGCAATTCAATTTCCTCGATGCTCTTTCCTTTAGTTTCCGGAACAAATATATAAACGAACACAAAAGTGATGGCAGTTATTCCCGAATATAAGAAGAATATTCCTGAAATTCATTGATTTATTAAATTGATAGTAATAATCAAATTGAAAATGATTATATATCAATTAAGAGCAATGATGATTCTAGTGTAGTGCAATTCTGCATTCTTCTAAACTGAAATTTATGGCTTTCGGCCAGATTATTGCAAATATTTATCCATATGATAAATGTGATAATGTGATATTATTCTTTTCACTTGTGAATAGAAATAAATTCTCCAACTTCCAATGCATAAAAAGATATATTTATCAGTATTTGTTTATTAAAGAGAAAAGATTTCCCATTTCATTTAATTATTTAATTAATTATTTCATTTAATTATTTGCTTTCAGTTATTTTATTTTGAATAAAATTATTATAAAATCATGCTAACCATATTTTGTGATTGCTTGAGAAAGTGTTAAAAATGTTAACGAAACGATGAGATTAAAAAACCAATTGAAAAAAGTTGAAATCGAGCATCCCGTACTTCTAGCCCATAGAGGATAAAATTCTGAGTTTAATAACCATGGAATCGACGCAAGACCTGAATATTGGCTGTTATAATATTTTTAAATCTTAGCGATTTCTCATTAATCGAGCATCCATATAGACACATTCTTTTTTCCAAGAACATTCGCTCATTATTTCTGGCTTGGCTGATTCCACTGAATATTAAAATGAGAGCGCGGCACTTAGTGTTAAAAGTCCACACCAAATTATATATATATATATATATATATAATATATTCTAGTGATATATACTAGTAAAAAATATGGAATTTGCAGTTATATAAAATGATAAATTAATCAATTTATTTAAATTAATTTAAGGACTTACCGCATGCAAAAAAGCTTAAATAAATGACCATGAAAACGACCGGTAACATAGCATATTTCGTTGCACAATAACTGCTATAAAATGAATATTTTTTCATATCGAAACCAGCAGCACAAGGTCCCAACAGTGCTGCCTTGTTGTTACTAATATTTTTTGGTAGGCAGTAGCTGAATTATAATTTTCATATAAGTTTGCTTCATATCTTTTATTTCTCACCATTTTTCTCAAGTAGCTAACAATAATAAATCATGATGGAACATACTTTAGACTATGCAAATCACTGGAGAAATCTTGATCCCTGCATATAAATTAGATATAAAGGGAATAAAGAAGAAAAAATTAATTGAAAAAAACAGGGGATAGAATAGCTCAGTGGTTTGTTGCGCAATTGGGAACGCCGATGCTGAGGTTCGATTCCCGGCAGGAATAAGCCTGTGCAAAAATCCAGGTGATGCTGGCGACTCACCTGTATTTCTATTGCCAAGGGACTCCATAGCATATTGCCCAATGAGCCAATGAGGTGAGTTTAATCAGTAATGGTCTTTAAAAAAAAATTAAAAACAAGAAAACAATCATTTCATCTTCATGATATGTATGCATGGATCAATAAAATCGTTCCACAAAATCAAATCCCTAAAAAAATATTTACCCCTTTCTCATGGTGCTATTTTCAAGACTGCAAAATCCACAGTAATCATTAGTTACACAATCATCGCAAATGCTGAAAATAATAATAAATTTAGCCAAAAAATATGATTTCCTACATTTCTAAAGATAAATTTAATATCTCAAAAAGATTTTCATAAATATTCAAGAAAATCACCGTTATATATAGCTGAGTGAATATTTCATTTTTTTTATTATCTGCCGATAAATGTTCACATTAAATAATAAGGCATCAAAAGCGAAAATACAATATCAATAGATTGATATTGTATTTGCAGGATTTCGGAGATAATTGATATTCAGCTCAGAAGGATATTCTGGCATGTCTTATAAAAATTGGATTATTGCTTCCAATTATTTAGAGTCTAGAAAAAGCAGAAGACTTTAACAAAAATTTAAGAAACCTGTATAAAAAGCAAGGGTGTATGGGTGAATCATTCGCATTATTAGCTATAACAATACTAGAATTACGATTTATAAACAGGAATCCGATTCCTATCAGTATAAGTGATATTAAAGTGCCAAATACAGATATCAACAGCAATAAACGGCGCCCAATTTTTTCAATAAGTGCAATCGGTATGAATGTTGCAAAAAAATTCACGGCTAAAAATTTACGATTAAGTATCGCTAATTTGAAATAAATGGTAGTCGCCAAGTCAATCAGAATGCAGTTCGGTCACAGGCACCATTTGAATTTTTTAATTTTTAATTATTTTAATCATTGTAGTTAGACAATTATATATTCATGCCGGAAGAAAGAATCACTATGACGCCCTTAAATAAAGAATATATAGTTTTTACATGGAAGGAAAAAAATGCCGACATCCTTCCTCTATGCTGAACTACGGTGTCATTGAGAAATCCGGGTTTCATTGAGAGTTTACTTATATTTTTATCCTAAAATCATTCCCTAGATAAAGCCGTAATTCTTGCAAAAAACAACGATTTTTTGTTTTATTTATTACAGATAGCTCCCTTGAAAAAATACATGTAAATTAAATTTGTTTTAAACGATAAAAAACGCATAGAAGGATTAGTAAAAATATTGAAATTAGCAAAAAATTGGCTGTTCCTAATATTCTCTTCTGGATATTTCTAATGTTGTTCCTGGAATCTATCGCAGTCAGTTTTTTAGTAATCGCAGCACTAAGTGCTTCTATCGCCACTGGGACTATTTTGGTCTTCACTTTCTACCTCTAGTTCCTCTTTCTGTTACTAATTTTGTACCATCTTTATAGCTTTTTCCTAATATTCCTTCATTTTGCATTGCTATATCTATCATTAGTATTCATAAACCAGTACTTATTTACCCATGTGGATAGAGAGATCGCACAGCATATTGGTCTCTACGATTTTCTAAGGAATATTCTACATAGTCATGGGAGGATCTAAAACACAAGCTGAACAGCTGAACAGATATTCCTGAAGATAATGCTAGCTACATGATTTTCAGTGCGAGCTTTTCCTGCCTACATTTTACATCTTGGACTATATATACTTATATGTTGGACAGTTTCTGACGTTTTTTTTACACAGCCCGCATTTAGAATCCTATTATAGTAGATCCATGCTTCGACATTGAATTTGTATCTATTTTTTGCTGCTATGATCTAGGAATGCCTCCGTGCTGTCTTTTTTCCAGCCACTGGCAGAATTCCTAAACTATCTGTCGATGATATATTCCATGGAGAGTCTTGCTTTGGTGCAACTCATTCTTTGGTGACTTCTTATTGATGACTTGTACCTGAACTGATGTACTGCTAGTCCCATTACATCAGTCCTAACTGATTTTCCTGCTCTTTACTATCATTCAGTCACATTAATTCACTCTAAATGGCATGCTAAAGTCTTCACTGTAGATTCATGTTAGATGAATATGCGAGTCGATGTGCTTTTAATATCTGTCAGACGATCACATAAAGAAGATGGCTGATGGAATTTTGTTTTTAAGCTCGCATCTTGTGATTATCTGTGATTACCTACTCTGATCGTCTGAGAGGGCATGGATTTATACAGGAAAGGAGCGAGAACAATGTATTGCTGTAATGCTGAACTTGATAGCCACTTTGTGCAAGCTGTTTTAAGCGAGTCTTTTTCCACAGTCTCATTGAGTTAGTCTCAGTAAAATTCTTCAAAGCACTGTTGATTTTGTATGAAACCAGGCATTCTTAGATCCATATATGAGGCATTGAATTATAAGCTTTCCTATTGTCAATCGCTGTGTCAATTAATGTGCATTGAGACCTTTTATGCATGTGCTGCATCGTAGCTTGCATAAAAATTTGTAAAAATTTGTAGAAAAATCCAAAATCCAAAATGTATCACCTGAAATGGCGCTTGCTATCCATATAATTTTTTGCTTATCCGTTGTTCCAGCAGATTCGATAATCGAACCCGTATAGTACCTGAAATTCTTAATTTTCTGTTTTCAGTTCATTTCTTCAGCAAAATGTTTATAAACCTTAACAAATATAGTAAAATATAATAAAATGAAAATGATAAATGTAATAAAATGATTTTTAGCTCGAGCTTATTATTATTTGCTATAAATTATTGTTTTTTATGAATTTT